TATATATAATTTTCTGTCTATATAATCTTTATTTCTATATTTATAATCTATATTGACAAATGTTGCCTTGGCCAATAGCTGAATTAAAAATTGTTTTCGGTTTTATTTCAGTTAATGTTTTTCTCAAGTAAAAAAAAAATTCAGTTTAGTTGTAGTTAACTGTAATATAAACTGTAATATAAATGAAATATAAACATCTAAATGGTGGATGTAATAACTTTATGAGAGATTTGTTCAAACATTCATTAAATAATGAAGAAATCACTTCAATACGAATATAATGAATGTATTATAGTGCATATATAACAAAATACTCCTCTCTAGAGTTTTCTAGTTAACTAACAATCTGTGGACATTGAATGTCTTTCCTGAGGAAAATAATGTTACATGACCATGTTTACAAGCAGATTTCTGATGTCTTTCCACAGTTAAAACACTAAAACCAAATTCGGTGCATAAGCTTGGAGCAATAAAGCTTTTTTCCACAATAATTGGCTGCACAAACAGTATTGAGTTGAATTGTGCTTCATGTGATCTTCAGGCCACTCCGAGTCCCAGTCCGGTAGGGTACAGTCCAATGACTCCTGGAGCTCCATCTCCAGGAGGCTACAACCCTCACACTCCCGGATCTAACATCGACCAGGCCTCCAATGACTGGGTCACCACAGACATCATGGTGCGTGTGAAAGACACATTCCTGGACGGAGGCGTCATCAATCAGACCGGTGTAATCCGGAGTGTCACCGTGAGTGTTGTACATGTGATTTTATCTGATTTTGTGGATCTAGATGTGCTGTGACTTTCAGCAAGGATCTGCAAGTAGAAGCATGTGAAGTTTAGATTTGCATATTGCAAATGTAGTGCTGAGATGCCCGGGGCTGATTTTACATTTTTGCCAGTGGATTAAGCTTGTCTCTGTTGTGATAACGATCCATTCCCTGTTAGATTTTATGATGAATCATACCCTGTTAGTTGTTTGTTGTTAAGAAATCACTGATTCATCCATGGAAAAATTCTTCTTTCACATAGGGGGGGATGTGCTCCGTTTTCCTGCAAGCCACGGAGAAGGTCGTTAGTATTTCAAGTGAACACTTGGAACCTGTTACGCCAACCAAAAACAATAAGGTACTGCTGGTCTTATGTAACCAAATGTGATTGATTTTATTGTGATTTAAGTTTCTTAGCGTAAGGATCTCACAATTTTGGCAAAGAAAACGCTTTTCTTTTTACTTTTCCAATCTACTGTATTGGTTCATTTTAAAGAAGACATTTCAAGCTTTCTGTAGATACATTTTTAGTCAATTACATTTACATTTACATTTACATTTAGTCATTTAGCAGACGCTTTTATCCAAAGCGACTTACAATTGGGGGATCAAAAATACAAACGCAAACAAAAATATAACGTAGAAATAGGCAGAAAACGAAATATTCCTTCCTAGCAGCAAGTAATAATTCCAACAGCAGATCTATAAACAAGTATTATGCAGGACACTCACGTGCAGCCGTCTGTCTCTTCTGTTGACTAATCGCTTGACCCCAATTAATGTTTAGTCAGCCCTACAATCTACTAAATATGTCATGATCCAGTATATACTGTGTATTGCTTATAAATTAACAAAAAGTATGTTAAATAGTATGCAATAATTAGCATTTTAGACATTTCTGTGCAACGTTAAACACCTTATGTTTAATTCTGCTCATGGAGTCCAGATATAATTAGGGATGCGCCGATCCGATATTCATATCGGGTATCGGCTCCGATAGTGCCATTTTTCTCGGATCGGGTATCGGTCAGAGAGCGCCGATCCAAATCCGAGAATTGTTTTAATTTTTTTTTTTTCCGATTGTGCGAATTATTCTGTGTTACTTCTGAAGCCATACGATAGCTTAATGTGAGCTACATATGAATATTTAAGTCCTTACATTAAAGTTCACACAAACTCTTTTCTCCGCTGTGGCTGTCAGACATTCGTTATCGGAGGCGAAAAAGGCGGATCGGAGCATCCCTAAATATAATACACTTTAAAGTGCCCTCCTTATTACAGTATAAATATATTTTCATGCTATAGATGTAAACCAAAGCAATCGAACCAAAGCAAACAATAATTTACTGTTATAGCTAGAATAACATGTAACTTTTTTGATAAATGATCTAATTTCATATACACATACAGAAACTCTTAGGCCTTTAAATTCTTGGGAAATACTAAATTTAGAGCTTTTAGAGAACATCAAGACCACAATCATGAAAGTCACAGCTGCAAGAACCAATGAAGCATATACTTGCCTGAAATCGCTCTTGAATCAAGTCCATGCTGCAGACATTGAAGTGATGAGAATTAACCAGGGCAATTTTTGTCTCCATTTTAAATATATAATGGATGAGCAGTGAGGAGTTTAGGAAATGAACAGGTGCAAAAGGAGAGAAAGAATATCACTTAGATATAAGCCCGCTGCTCCTCCCACTGAATCAGATGTCCCAAATCCAGCGTCAGAACCCTGTTATTATGTCATTTGTGTTATAACAACAAATTTGGAAAATGTTTCTCCAACATGAATAAATGTGAATGTGTGCTTCTCAGGTGAAGGTGATTCTGGGAGAGGACAGGGAGGCCACAGGAGTCCTGCTCAGTATTGATGGTGAAGACGGCATTGTTAGAATGGAGCTGGATGAGCAACTGAAGATTCTCAATCTCCGCTTCCTTGGGAAATTGGAACTGTGAAGAACCACGCATTTAAACATTTTGCTATTCGAATGCAGATGCTGCAATTAGTCACTTTCAGTGAGCTTTGATTTTCTTGTTCACCATCATCTACATTGTGAAGTAACTGGCCTTTTACAATATGTATATATATATTTTTTTTTACTTAGTTGAAGGTTTTAGTGGATAGTCCATTTTCTGTTTCTTCTGTGGTGTAAAAACATACTTTTTGGCAAACTGATTCCTTGTCAAATAAAATGTGAATCGTGAGTTCCCAAATCCATCCATCCTGAGTGTTTGCATGAAATATTTAATAGCTGATGGCTGTTCGTTTTAAACCTTTTCTTGCCTGCCGGTGTTTAGAACATCGACCATAAAGAAGAATTCCATTTTTATTCACTTACGAGTGATTTGAGCTCCAACAAATGAGAAAAACCACTGTGCTCTGCACCACAAAAGTTTATTCAACATCGTGTTCCATTACATTCCGAACCTTTAATGTCATTAGAAATTGGTGTATATTCTGACTGCATTAAAGGTCTTTCAAAACCCTTTAATCCCTATGATTTGCATATATACTAATGGGAAAAAATGCCCCAAGGTTAAATACTTTAGGAATTATGTAACAGTTTTATTTGAACATATGCATCAGATCTGAGAACTGGAAAAGGATAGTCAAACATGAAAGCAGTGAAAGTCTATAGCTTTCTCTTAGTTACAGGGTTCATGAGGATTTTCGTAGTTAATTGGAACATAAAAGATGGTGGTGTTCTTTGGACAGGGATGTCCTGTGCTATTAAACCACGAAAGTCTATCGAACTTTTGCTCTTGTTCTTGTTTGGGGCATCCAAGGGTTTGGTTCCTGAAGAGATGAACCTTCAGCTGGATCCACGCTTCACGACCCTAAAAATGAAGAAAGACCATTTAAGCTTTTGGGTTTAAATCTGATTATTTTATTTCTTATAATTTATTAATGTTATTAAACCTGGGTATTAATACAGATTTTCCAGTCCTAATTTATCTGAGTATATTTCCGTTATAATGCAATTTTTGCTTCCATATGAAAGAAGCTCTTGGAGAATGTTACATTTATACAATATTTAACAGCTGAATCATAACTCGACTTCTGAACTATTAATTAAAAGAACCGACTCATAAGAGTCATTTATTTAATGAAGCTGGCTTTATCTCTTCATTATTTGTTCGTGAATCAGACCACACGCGCTGTTTTTGCGTGACCCCCACGAAGACAGCTCAAAAGAGACACGTGTCTTGCCAATCACATAAAAAAAGGCTAATTCATATTCACAAAATATGACTGAATATGATTATCTAGTGCCATCTGCTGGACAGGAAGCAATGTACAAATGTGTTTTAGGCCTACACCTTGGGATGTCGGGATCGTTCAGTTGACGATCACTATAAAACTATTTCTTGATATTCTCGACTGAATGTAGTAAATATAATTTAACATTGAATTCTCTCACCTCGCTGTCCGTCACACATTGCAAATCATAGTTTTGTCCCAGCAGTGGGGTCAGAACACCACGTATGTCGTCATGCTGCAGATCACATCATGTTAAGATTGATGAAGTGTTGCTTGTATTAAATCCAAGACATTATGAAACAGCCAGTCCGATAAACTTACCTTGTATGACACATCACATGAGGTTTTGATTCCAGAGCTTTCCAAGATGCTACAAAAAATGAAATGGGGGGGAAACAGATGAGCTCATGATAAGACAATATCATGGTATATAATGTTATTATCATGCTAATAACACCCACTTATCAATGTCAAAGAGTTTCCGAAGCTTGACTGCGACCTGGAAATAGAGAAGCGGTGAACCCATGCTCTCCTCACAGCCTGCACACGTTCCATGTTTAATCCATTCATCCCTCCTGCCAAACCAAATCAAATCAATCACTACTGCTTAGCAGTGAAAATATGTATGAGCTACCATCAGACATACCAGGCATTAAGTTAAAAATTTATTTTTATTTTTTCATTTTGATCTACATACACTTTTTCATGAGTGGCCTTTGTCAGTTATGTAGCCTATACGACGTGTAAACTTTTTTTAATCATGCGAAACTCTTGATCATGCGATACCTACTGGAATTGGATTTGGCTTGCAAATTTTCTCTAGGTGACCACCTTTTCTCTAAGTGACCACCTTTACTATGGAAATTTACTGTGGAAATATTAATATCATTGTGCTTCAGGCGGCGATACATTAAATCACAAAAGTTCATAGTTTGTGTTTACCAGAAGTAGAAGAAGTGCTTTCCTTTTATTAACGATGGCCACAGCTGAGTGAGTTCAGGCTCAATTTCCTGAACATAAACATGATGTTACATTTTATATTTAACGCTTCAAATAAATAAATAAATACATACAAACAAACAGTGGTGGAAGCATTTTTACCTGAAGATGCGAATGATATATCGGCCAACAGTCACAGCAGTGCCCAGTACGTACAGGCCTAAATGTCATTCGAAATTTTCAAAATAAAGAAATGAATAATAATGCCAGAAATAATAAAATAAAGACCAATCAAAAACACAGAATGTTCCAGTGAAGTGTTAATTTTCAGATGAGCGGGAATGGGAACAACAGCCACTGAATTCCTCACCATAGACCATGGATGGTCCAGTTTTGAACAGTCTGTGGTATTTTGCAAATGGTTTTGTTGTTAATACCCTGTGGGAGGACAGGAAAAAAGAAGACTGATCATGTTAAGCAGAAGTAACATGAAAGGCAGAGACCACAACTGGTTTTAAATGAAGCACTGATATCAATATCAGTTGCTCTTCATATGATTTCAGACAGATTGCAATAGAGTCTTGTGTAAAGTTTACTAGCACTGGTGTAATATATAAAATATAAAGACATACTATACAGAAACTCCCAGGCCACTGAAGAGTGAGATGCATACAAGTCCAGTTGCATGAGCTGAAAATGAAAAAGCAGTTGTAGGCCTACTTTTTCTTTCTATTTGCTGTACCTTTCTCTTTTTCAAATTCTGTGCAGCCCTGCATTTCTGTTTAATTACATTCTTTTATTGTCTATTTAATTGTGTTCATTTGCAGTATTTAAAGGAATAGTTCACCCAAAAATGAAATAGTGTTTCTTCATCTGAAAAGATCTGGAGAAATTTAGCATTGAATCACTTCTCACATGAACAGCTGTAAACAAATATGTCAGTGGATTTTGATGTGAGAGAACAACAGGGGAAGGACTTTTTAAAGGAGGAAGCTTTATTATGGATTATAGACTGGTATTTTGTTCAGAAGCGACAGTTTAAAAAGCTAAAATGTCTTAATGATAGATTTATTTATTATAAACATGCAGCTTTTCACGTCACAAGATATTAATTGATGGAGTCGTGTTGATTACTGTGATGTTTTAATCTCTTTGGACTCTCATTCTGACGGCACCCATTCACTGCAGAGGATTCATTGGTGAGCAAGTGATAATGCAAAAACGTAAAGCTAAATTTCTCCAAATCTGTTACAATTAATAAAAAAAAATGTGAGTATAAATTCACCACATTTTCACTTTGGGGTGAACTATTCCTTTAAATATTGATAGATAAATGACTGCTGGTCTCTGCTAGTCAATAACGTATGCTGATTTATTAATTAAAGATTATTTGAATTATTGTGTCTTACTGCCTCGTGACAGCCCCAGAACAGAGTCCATTATCATACGTGAGGACCCAACCAGTGAGCAGAGCAGCGGTGCAGGCCCAGAGGATGTGCTTATCTGAAACAACACAGCACAATACAGTTAAAGCAAAATCTATGAATTCAAAACAACTGCAGTATGACTTCAGAAATTAGGTTCTATATAGCTCTTGTAAATGCATATATAACTAGAATTATATAAATAACTACCGTAGCTCATGTTGATCCTGCAGTTCTGAGCTCCAGTGACAGAGTGTCAGCATCAGTTTCCTTTCCCCTGGTCTAATGCAGAAGCGAAACATAGTGAATGTTCTATGTTTGCATGCCTGAGAAAAAGGAAGTGATACTGTCATGCATTATGATTAGAAATTGCAAGATGTTAATGATAATACAGTACCCTTTAATGCCGTAGTTTTAGCTCTATATATGTTCCATATAGTTCTGTAACCCACTTAAGGGCGAACAGGCTGAAATGGCTCCTTTCTTTTAACCAAAATAAACAAAATCATTTTATATTGTTTAGCCATTCAACATTTTTAAAATAATTACCTTGAATTAAACATGTTTTTGTTAAATATGCACACAGTGGAATGTTACATAACGTGTTATATACTGTATTACTTCACAAAGCAAAATGTCACTTAAAATTGCCTTTGAAAGATGTTAACCAATCAAATGCTAATGTTTATAGGAAACATAGATTTAATAAAAATGTAATAAAAAGAAAATATTTGATTTTTGCAAAAATTAAGTTTAAAATTAAATTAAACGCTTATTAGTCTGATGTGTTATTTATTTCAATATTGTATTTTTCGTTTTATTTTAAACTTAATTCTATTTTATTGTTGAAGGTTTGGTAGGTGAAGTTGCAAAAATCAAAATTGTTAATTCCAAACAAAATCATGACTTTGTTAATATTTTAAGAAAGGTTTATCTGTTGTAAAAAAAAAATGATGACCCGCATTCTTGAGAATGTCAGATTTCGGGACAGTTATGAATTGTGTTGATATTAAATCATCTTTAACTTTAGGTGTAAGCAGTGTAGGACCTTTTAACAGGCTCTATTCATGACAAATAGTTTAAGACATTTTAAGGTATTATGCTTCAATGAAAAACTTATTACAATATGCTTTGTAAATATGAAAAAGGACTACTGCTTTGCAGTTGAGTGAATCAGCTGGCAGCTTGGCTGTTCAGAGTGATCTTTCCCCTCCTGACTCCCTGGCTCTGGTTCAAAAGCTCTGCAATATGTGTGTGTCCTTGTAAGGGCCACGACTAGACAAGAATCAACAAGCTCAACAGAGAGCAGCGTCGGACATGAGGCATTTACTGGTAAATCCACTGCTGTTCTTCTTTATTCTTCCATAGTCTGTGATATAACAGCTGTAGATGTGTTATCAGGAAGAATCTACTCCTAAAATACTTGTGAAACAGGAAATATGCCACACAACGATACTCTATTGCACTGCAAACATTGCTTGGGAAAGCTGGTTATTAGATGGTAATCTTGTATATTTGATGCGAACAGATTTCGAATTTGGTTAAGTTTGAAACACTGATAGCTGCTGTGGGTTTTGAATGACTGGCTGCCTTAAATGACCTCTAAAGAAAACACTCATTTTCAGTCATTCAACAGTCATCTGATACTGAAACTCATATGAGCAAACGAATCAGTGTGTTTGTCCTTTTATTCTTTTATTGTCTTTTTGATTGTGCAAACAAATGTTTTAAAAAACCTAATCATAAATCATTTTTAGTACTCTACAGGGAATCAAACAGTCAGAGGTTTGCTTGTAAACTTCTTGAGATGAATGTGTGTTTATATGAAATGAACACAACTGTTTGTTAAATGGACACTGAGGAGGTCATGTCACCATTAGCCTCTCCACATTTAGCATGCCTGCATGCAGAAAAACACACACACACACACACACACACACACACACACACACGCTGGTGGACAGTGAAGTAAAAGGGGCATGACGTTCTTAGCCCAACCCAACAGTGTGTATTACGATCTGATTAGTTTGCTCCAGGTGCTGGTGAGCAGCAATTGGCTAAAACCACAACTCATTTCTGCTCCACATGAGCTGGGTTGATGACCTTCAGAACCATAAAATGTTACATTCCTTTCACATTTTCTTCTTTTTAAACTTACTTGAAATATAGCAAAGATAATAAAAATATTCGGGTGTGGAGTAACAGAGTCTTCTACTTGGGGTCTGGGAGTCCCAAAAATATAAAGCGCTTAACCCTGACTTAGGTTAATATTTCATTAGTTTTCCTAATCTAATGAGAAATATAAACAAAACTGACTTTAATGTAAAAAGTTAATGATAAAAGCCATGGAATCTGTGTGTGACAGGTAGGCCTATATTACCATGTTTTAGAAGCTACAAACATGTTGCTAGCATGTTTTAACACATCACTAGCATTTTTTGCTGCTACCATGTTTTAACGTCTTAACATGATTCTAGCATGTTTTAGCATTTTGTTAGCATGCTGCTACCATGTTGTAGGCTACCATTTTAGGTGCTGCTAACATATTTTAGCATGGAACTGGCATGTTTTAGCATATTTGCAATTGTTTGTTTATAGAATGAATGTTTAATTGACATGACTGAACATCACTGAATGAAACTTTGGTTATTTCAGAGTGTTCCCCGGCTAGCCTCACAGGCTTTCAGCACAACAGTCCGGCAAATGAAAAACAAGGTGCCTGACAGACAGAAGGTTTTCCTGGTAAGAAGAATTTCAGACTGGCATGATGTCAAAATTAATACACTCTCAAAACATAAAATGTATTAATCTGTTTAGATGACATGTGCACTGTGCTCTGATTTACATTTGCACATTTCAGAGGTCAAATATCATTTATCATTTACTCACTCGATAATCTTTATTTAAAACTTTTACAAAAACTTTTTTTTTTTTAACAGTGTGTTTGACCTTCTTTCCTCTGCGGAACATAAAAGAAGATATTTTAAATAATGTTGGTAACCAAACAGTTTCAGTTCTCATTTACTTCCATTGTATGTACAAAAAAGACAATAGAAATCGAAACTGGTTACTTCAAAATATCTTCTAAAAGATATAAATATCTTCTATATGGTAATGTAAAATAAATAAATAAGAATATATTACATATTGTTAATCACTGTATAATAAATAATATACAAGACCTTTATAGCTTTATAACTAATAAATACAAACCCGATTCCAAAAAAGTTGGGACACTGTACAAATTGTGAGTAAAAAAGGAATGGAATAATTTAATTTATTATATATAACTAATTAAATCAATAAAGAACTATATTAATTATTAATAATGTTATTCTTTGTGTATCTAATATGAAGAAACATATTTATATCTGCAAAGATTACTTTCGCACAACAAAAAGGACTTTTAAGTTAATACAACTATACAAATTTTATGTTGCATTGTGGCCATACATTGCAAGAATAACATTTTTATTTATCCACACTTACAGGAGGATAACGGTCTGCCAGTCCACATTAAAGGAGGCTCTACTGATGTCCTTCTGTACCGTTTGACCATGACCATCACAATAACAGGTACAAAACCCTTCTGGTCAATCAAGAAAACTTGGATTTACTTTTTTTTTAAATTTAGGTTCATAAAAATATACATACCAGTATTAAAAGAAGTCTTCTCTCTCTTTGTGGTTCTCTTTAGGCACTGGCTTTTCCTTTTACTGGTTGCTGTTGGCCTGTATGCCCAAGAGTAAAGCATAATAACTTCAAAACTGCATAATGCTGTACAAATCTATTTCATTTCAAATACCTTAAACAATAAAACACATATATGAAACATGAATACATTAAATCCTACAACTACAACTTTCATACAGAAGTGTTTGGTCACGACACACTACTGTTCAAAAGTTTTTGAAAAAAGTATTTATGTACTTGTAAGAAGCACTTATGCTCACCAACATTTTAAATGTCTTGATCAATTTAATGCATCCTGGCTCAATAAAAGTATTAACATCTTCCAAAATCTTACTGACTTCAAACTTTTGAATGGTAGTGTATCACTGGCATTAATCAACAATACGCGTTTGGCGCCACCTAGTGCCAACAGAATAACAATTTATAGGTTGCTCAGATGTATTCAAACATTATTTGTGATCTAGCTGCTTAATACATAACTGAATTCCAGTTACAAAAACTGCTTTTCGAATTGGGCTTGTGCCAACAATTTTTTTAAACTTTGGTCCAAAAAGATACCAAACAATACTTTGAATATTGTGCAAAATTATTTAATATCATTCTTAAAAGTCAGTTTCAGAAAGATGAAAAAAGCCCTTTTTAGTGGTTTTGGTACAGCATGCATAAGTGCAGTAAAGTGAGGTAGCCTTTCTTCTCACTTGTAGGTAAAATTGCATGAAGCATAGCTGCATTGAAAGAATAACACATTTTCCGAGATGTAAATGACAGGAAAAAAAATCCAGTTTTTATCAGGATTCAGGATAAATTTACATACATTAAAAAATGTATGGAAAGCATCATGCAACCGAGATGCTAAAAAACTCTACTGAGATGAAAGTGTACACATCTATCTAACAAACCTTCAAAATTTTATCTTGAGATTGTCACACTTCAGAGAGGGAAAAAAAACACTTTTTTTCTCCACATATGGTGACATATGACAATTCAACACTGTTCATTCTGAACATTATTACAAACTCTTTCCTGCTAGTTATACTTATATACAAAATTAACCAATCAATTCAGTAAAATTAATTCATTATCAAGACACAGAATGCAAAAATCTACAAGGGTCGGTAAGGTTTTAAAATGTTTTTGTAAGAAGTCTCTCCTGCTCACCAAGGATGCATTTCTTTAATCAAAAATAAAACAGTAATAATGTGAAATATTATAATATTTAATACATTTTAAAATCCTGTGATAGCCTAATTTTCAGCAGCCATTTTCAGTGTCCCATGATCCTCCATAATTCATTCTAAAATGCAGATTTGCTGCTCAAGAAACATTTCTTATTATTATTATCAGCAATAATAATCATTAATTAATATTATTTTGTGGAAATGGACATTTTTCATTATTCTTTGTTGAAAAGAAGGTTCAATTCATTTGAAACACAAATCTTTTTGTAACATTATAAATGTCTTTGCTGTCACTTTTGATTATTTGAATGCATCTTTGCTAAATAAAAATCTTACTGACCCAACACTACTTCGGTAAACTTTATATTATTTGTCAATGTGCAGTTTTCATGCAGACATTACCAGTGCATTAAATTCCTGTTAGACAGACAAACACTGATCCCATCATACTGTCCTGGGCATTGCAGACATCCCTTCCATTTTCTGAGGCTTGGAGATAGAGGCGTATAAGGTTGGTGTACAAGCTTTCCCATGATGCTCTAGTCTAGCGTAAGAAGCGAATGCTCATCTTGTGGTCAATGTTGACCTTCTCCAGAGACTAATACAAAACAGGTTGAAACACGTCAGCAGTCATATTCCATCGACATTATAACATGTGCTTTTATCAAACAGCGTGAATGCAGAATTTGAGGTTATACCTTACGAAACTCTTCAAAAGATATTGCGTCATCACGGTCTAGATCTGCTTCCTGTATAGTGCGGTCTGCTATGCTCTCCAGCTGCTCTTCTGTCACCTGCATCCCCAGCATGGCCCGGAGAACCTGTCAATGATCAACCTGCTGTCAGTCTTATTCAGTTTGTGAGAAAACAGCTAAAAACATGAATGAAGAAGCAAGTGACCTTTAAAAGCTCATCTCTGGAAATCTTGCCATCCTTGTCTTGGTCATACAACTGAAATGCAACTACAGGAATGAAGAACCAGGCCAGATTTAAAGGAACAAGATTACTTCAACTCAAATCAATACTGCAATACTGCATTATTTGGTCAATAGCAGTGTAATAAGCAGGATATTGTTCAGTCAGTTGGTCATTATTGTGAAATAAACCCTTTCAGGGTGTCCTTTATTCTGTGATAATGGCTGTCTGACTGTACAATGACACTAAAGTAACATCGCCCATTCCATTACTGAGAGGATGTGGTTTATCTGCTGGGTAAAAGCAAAAGCAAACATACATTTGAGTTTGTTGCTCCTGCTATTGATGAGTTCAGGAGAATTGGGCTCTTTAGGTCGGTCCTTGTCAACGGGCCGGAAATGAGCCAGGATCTTCACAAAAGTGTGGAAGTCCACCATTTCCTTCCTGAGATTAACATCATTATTTATGACTTCAAGACACAATGGTTGTTTGTTTATGATTTTGGTTACTGAGAAAGACCTTTTTGAGAAATGTAGTCATGCATGCTGTATATTTCAGAACTAATTTCCTGATCATTGTGCAGCTTATTATTGTCAAAAACCACTAACTTAGACTGGAAAGAGTGTTTGACCTAAATGCGAATCGGCTAACCACCATTTTTTGTTTTTATGAGTCATTTAGGCGTAGGGTTATCTAAAAAAATATATACCACAATAACAAGTTGGCATGGAAAAACATTAAAGGAATACTCCACCCCAAAATGAAAATTTTGTCATTAATCACTTACCCCCACGTCATTTTGGAGAATAACCACTGAACACAAGCAGCGTACGCTCTTCTGTGTCAGCCGCGCTGCACTGTTTTCGTTCAAATCAAAGTGTAAATACACGTAGAAAACCTCCTATCCTTGTGTCGCGGCTGACACAGAATAGCGTACGCTGCTTGCGTCCAGCAGATATTCTCCAAAATGGTGCTACGGTGATGCGGAGAGACACAGAGATGAATTGTTGAATAAAGTCGTTATTTCTGTTTTCTTCGCGTACAAAAAGTATTCTCGTCGCTTCATAACGTTACGGTTGAACCACTGATGGCAGATGGACTATTCTGACGATGTCTTTAATACTTTTCTGGACCTTGACAGTGTAATTTACTTGGCAGTCAATGGGTCTGTCACAAGCCTCCAGGTTTTCATCCAAAATATCTTAAATTGTGTTCCGAAGATGAACGGAGCTTTTACGGGTTTGGAACGACATGGGGGTAAGTGATTAATGACAAAATTTTCATTTTGGGATGGAGTATCCCTTTAATCAGACAGTTCAGGACTTGCTACAGTGTTTTATGTTAGAATCCAATATTCAAGACTTCAGTGTGAACAGTAATTATTTTCACTCTCCTAAAGTTTGTAGCTCATGCCAAGCAAGATTCATTACCCTGGGGAGAAGAAGGCACCTATTATTCTGTCTCCTATGGGGTTCATTGCCAACTCCTTTATGGCTCCAAAATCCTGGGGACTATGTGAGAATGAGACAAGACGTATGGCTTAATATTTATGTAATTGCAAAAGACATCTATCTCATCAGAGAAGATAAGACATCAGTCTCACCAGAGATGACCTCGTCCTTCTTTATCCAGAGCTTTGAAGCGATCATGGAGGCGAATAATGTGGGCAGGCGAGACTGGAAAAGAGAAATCACATTAATTATGAAAATGTTTCACTGAAGCCCTGTAGAATCATGACTCGACAAACGAGTTCAAGTGGACCGTAAACAAACTGAATTGACCATTTAAACAATTCTCCCCTGCAGCCAGCTTCACTGAAATTCATTAGTGCATTTTTATTTTTTAATTATTCTACATATACATATAGGCTACCTTTTTGTGCAATGTATTTGAGTAACATTAGTTTGTAACTGGAAAGTAAATTCTCATAAACTGAACAACACCTGTCACTGTCAATCGAGGACAGTTTTCGCTCATGTAAGCCGAATTTGTACCCGATATTTTTATCTTAGTGATCATAAGCCTGAGAGTTAAATAAAAACGGCAACAAATGTGCAGGAAAATTATATTTTATATAGTTGTTTACTCGTTCAACCGCGACAACAACAACAATAAGCCAGTAACAAAACACAATTGTCAAATGTCACTCACAGCCCGTCTCTTGCATCAACACCTCGACGTTAGGGATTTTTAATAGGGTGGAGTTCGTCGAACCCATTTTATATAGTTATGTGTCGACAGCTTTCAAACATTTAGCCCATATGCAGAGAGAACCTGGGAGCAAAAAAGAATGAAAACCAAGAAGTCATGAAATTTAAAACAAAAACAAAAAAACCGTTGAAAATGTTAGAGGAATGTTCGCATATACGCTGTTGCTTTTTCTTGTGCTTGAATAATACACGCTCTGTTTACACAGATTACAACGCCCACTACACTAATGAAATCTGATTCGTTTGAGTCGAATCTTTTTAACGACTCCACAAAATCCGTCTGAGCGGTTGAATGATTCATTTATGAATTAGACCGAATCACTTCGAACGTCCTACTTGTAATGAGCCAAGAACCGTAATGGAATAATTTCCAAAATGTTAAAAATAAAACGTACTAGAAATATTTGTATCACGTGATTGCATGAATACGTTTTATCAGACAAGACCATTTTCTACAGTGTTGTAGACAAGAAAATTAATTTTAGATTAATCTATGTTTCGGAACTAAATCATTGTTGCGACTGAATTTGGGCATATGAACAATAAACATTCTTGAAAATAAAACAAAAAAATGTAATAAACAGCAATATGTGTCTACATAAATGAGTGTTTAATATCCGCTTGCGCTATTTCGGATACAACGTGGTTACGTAGTCACGTACAGCATAAAATGAATCATCGAACCGGTTCTGCGAAATTGTTCAAAAGAACCGATCAGCTGAAATGAGTCGGACTTCCCATCACACACAATGGCACTGGTATGGTATGTATTTGTTCATAATAATTGCATTTAATCTATAACTAATAGCATGTTTGTTTTGTTTTTATGCCAAGTGATCCGTAGCTATATTTTGCAATACACCATGTATATTTTTGATGGCAGCATAGCACGATCACGCATATCACTTTATTTATTTATTTATTTATATAAAGAACATACACCAAAAGTTTCAGTTTGTCTCCTCCGCACATTAATAAACAATTTTTGTTGAGAGAGTGCAATTTTATAGCGTTTATAACAGGCTCAGCGCCTTTGAATACACTGGATGGCGCCAGAGTCTTTCATGCACATTTCATCTTTTCATCTACTCTGGTACACTGTCTGTACAGTTGCCTGTTTATGTAAGATATTAAAATATTACTGTAAGATGTTCCTCAAAACCATTTATTTCGTTCAGTCTTAGCTGCATCTTTAAAATAAGATTTCCCCTGATGCTATTGATCTTATGTGATTGAAGCAACACTGGAAAGTGTGACTGCTGGTTTCAGAGCTTGGTGTCTGTTGCTGAGTAGTTACTTTAAAGGCAAATTGCTGGGTGAAATAAAAAAAAATCATCTGATCTTTTTGAAATACTGAATTAAAAATCACTTGCTGGTAGATAAAAGTGTCTTAGATATTTAACACATTTTGTGCCAGTTATTGTAACACAAGCGTATAGAAATACATTAATTTCCAGGTAGGTCAGGATGTGTCACGTGTTTAAAAGATAAAAATGTAAAGATCATGTTGATCTTGATTACACAGGTTTTGCAGCTTTTCTCATGTCTTATGAACTAGAAATATATCTGGAACCTGATCTAAAAGAAAGAAAGAAAGAAACGCACAAAATGATGTCCTCAAACACAAATACTTACATATTAAACACCAGGAGAAGCTTTGCCCTGAGGAAAGTTACAATAATAGTTCTGAAGCACTCTATTTACTAATACTTTATAGCAATATCAGAATGAGAGAGACATATTTATATCTCTTGGCATGCTTTTCATTGCATGCTTACAAGGGTTTTTTTATTGCTCTAATAATGAGTTTTGACATGGTTTAAAAAAAATAAGGCTAGTTGTGAGGTCTTAAAAGAACAAATTTAAAGTTGCTATGGCTCTGAAATGTTCACAATGAATTTTTATTTGTAACTGCTGCAATGTAACTTTATTCATTTAAAAGCCATTCGTTTTATTACATTTGCACACTCCTTATATGTTTTATTAAAAGGTCTTTATTGCCTTGCGTCGGGTAAAATGCAGTTTTAGAATTGTGAAGTTGGCAGTTGTGAAGTTCTCTGTGAACTGAACATACCATTGATTCCCTGCAGGTGGGCTTAATTAAGAATATGTTCCCGTTGGAAGCCATTATTATAATGTGATTAGAGACCTAATTTAATCCCCTTTATATACACATACTGTAACTGTCAGCTGGAATTTATTCTAATTTAACAGAGTTATTAAACTAAACCCATAAACTTGAAATAAAAAAAATAAAAAAACTGAAATATAATACAACATTTAAAAAAAAACTTATTTTATCACAGTTAGCTGCCAAGGAAAAAAAAATAAAATTTTTCATTTAGCTTAACTTGATGTACAAAAATAACTGTAATTTACATAACAATTTCTGTACATTACATATACATGTAAATTACATATAAATGCATAATGCATATAACACATATTACATATAAATTATATAAATTAAATCTAAAACTATAGCTAAAATGATAATAAAAACTATATAGACATTTTAAAATGAATAAAAATGACAAAAACACACACAAAACTATATAATAAATATGTAATATTTTATATAATAAAAACTATATTAGTATCTCAATGATACAAAAATAACAGACACCAAGGAATGACATTTCATGTTGCGTTACAACTGCATCAAGTGCAGATGGCTGAAGTAAAAATACTGGGGAATCTTATGCTAAAAATTCATTGCAAGTTCACATGTCGAGATGCCAATAAAATGTCAACTGACCGGTTTGTGCTTGGGATATTACGCTTCATGGAGATGTGGGGACTTTCATGATGTTTTTGCATATTTGCACGATGAGGACACATGCATATACTCCATTTGCACATCATATTTTCAGTATATTTGCAAGTTAACATAGTTAACATAGTTACAAGGACCATTTTCAATCCTTGTAAACCATTATGGCTAATGGTTTATTGAAAGTCCTGTGCTTAAATCATATAAATTAAACGTGTAAAATCAAAGGTGGGTCGATTGCCAAGTGGTTTGTAAACACACAGGCTGGACAGGGAAACATCTATGATGTCACACACCTTTTGATGCAGGTAAAGCACCTTGAGACTCACTGGCACTATAAATGGTTGCACATTCCTGCAAAGAAAAAGCCTGTGGGGAAATTAAAAGAAAACAGTTTCAAAAAGAAAGACACAAACCATGGCATAATACCGTCTCACTGCTGCCTCCTTCAGGGTTCAGCACTTTGCACATCCCAAATTGTCTGAATGCAGTCAGTGTGCTTTAATTCTTCATACCATTGAGATAATTTCTCAATGATCCATTGGCATTTTATGCCACATTTAAAATAAGTTTCCTCAGGATATAAAAATAGACAAAGAAAAGCACGTTTATAATAAATCCACACCTTAATCATAGACAACTGATTCAGGTACTGAAAGAATTATGCGTTTAAAAGATGTATTAGATTGTTCTGTTATTGTACAGTACATGCATGTAAATCTATATTCCTGTCACCTTGACAATGGATAGTCAAAAGTTGTTGCATAAACAATTTTAACTCAGAAATTGCTATGAATGATTTCAAAGAAACAGCAAGTAACACATTGAATTGTGTGACTTTTTGAAGTAGAAAGAAATAGTGAAATAGAATTTTTTAAAATAATATTTTCTTGTGAAACGTACTTCAATAATCTTTATTTACAAATAATTTTTACATTGTATCTGTTATTGTCTTTATCACCTTAAGGATTATGTTGCGCACGTTGTAAAACGTGTTGTTTATTCTCAAACCATTTGGCAGTAGAAGAGTCCACCTTTGGAAATTCCCACATTAAGACCTCCTCTGACCACTCTGACTCAGTGTATATTTTTAATGTCTTTTGTCATCTTTATATTTGCAAACTCACTCCACATTTACTCATCACAAACCTATTCATATTGGCATAAATTAAAAAGCAATCTGTATATTCCTTTGAAATCCATGTATTCTATATCAACTCTTGTGCCATATACTATATACACCAAACTTTCATTCTTACAACATGTATATAATATTTGAAAATGCTGGCAACACCCACACAGTGCTTCCGGAAGGTCTGTATTACTCAGCGACTGTTTGTTCCAGATATTTATTTGAAAGAAAAGCAATGCTCTCAAACTCACATCCTTTGTTAACATTAATCCTGACGCACCACATCACTAACTGTTTTGAATTTGAAATAGTTGACAAACGATTGCTTTTTGATTTGTCATGCAAAGAGTCATTAAAATAACGGGAAAGTCCCATGAATATGTCTCATGAATATGGGAAAAAATGGGCAGATACAAATTATTGATTAAATCCCAGGTCATGAAATATTAGATGCTTTCTACACTGTTAAAAAAAGATTTTTATGAAGTTGTAAATAAAAGTATTTTACAAGAAAATACTATTTTTATTTTTCTACCTCAAAATTTCATGTTTAATTCTTAATTTGCCATTTCTTGTAACTGTTTGAAATTAACTAGCCTTTTCTTCCATTGTATATCCTCATACACTCTAACAAATGCTGGGTTATTTCAACCCAACTTTGGGTCAAATTTGGACTAACCCAATTTTTGGGTTAAAAATTTAATGTAAAAATTTAACCCAACAGTTGGGTTAGTCCATATTTGACCCAAAGTTGGGGTGAAACAACCCAGCATTTTTTTAGAGTGTATTATTGTATCATATTACATTATGTTACAAATTTTAAAAAAAGAATTGTAATACATATACATATATCCCGAATGTAGGCATGAAAATGAAAATGTTCTAATTATTTTTTAGTTATACTTGTATTTATTTGTTTCTATTTTCCTGTTTTAAATTTGTTTATAATACTAAATAATAATAATTATTTTTAAACCTATATATGTATGCAGCAATTATGGTCAAATGTGTTTTGCACAAATATAGGATAAAGGAATATTGTTTATACAGATTCCTGTGGAGTTTAACTACTAATGTGATATTTGGCTGGTTTAACGGTTGGTAGAAAAATAGTTATTGTGTATGATTAAAAATACTTGCATATACTTACTGTAGTTAGGAAAACAAGGTATTATTTAACACAAACGTTTTTTTCAATAAGATGCCTCAATCCTTAAACTGTCAAACATTCAAAGGCATTACATTATTTACCTTTTAGCCAGACATGCGAGTCATTTAAACATAGTAAATAATTCAATTCAATTCAA